ACACCAGCGAAGCTCAGTCTGCAGCCTCTGAACGTTTCTCTCATTCAAACTGTTCCCAGAGATGCCGACGTCTCCCGTGAAAACGAGGATCCCTCTGACCAGCTTCGGTCACCTGATCACCGAGGTGAAGGTAAGATCACAAACCTGATGCAGTCTGCAGAGACCAGCTGAGGTCACCTGATCACCGAGGTGAAGGTAAGATAACAAACCTGGTGCAGTCTGCAGAGACCAGCTGAGGTCACCTGATCACCGAGGTGAAGGTAAGATCACAAACCTGGTGCAGTCTGCAGAGACCAGCTGAGGTGAAGGTAAGATCACAAACCTGATGCAGTCTGCAGAGACCAGCTGAGGTCACCTGATCACTGAGTCAAATTAAAAACCAAACCGTGGATGCTGTCAGTCCAATATGTTTAAATAGACTAATACATTCATTTTCACCTTAAATAACACATCACGTGCAGTTCTCTATTTTATATATCTCTTAAACATGACGTTATACCCTGATTATACCCTTATAAAGCAAAGTGAACTGTCCAATATTCATTCTACATATGTTTATACATTCACTGTACATATGTGTTCTTGTTTTTACACTGTATATACCAGTTTTTATTCCATTCATATCTTCTTTACTCTTTCCTTACACTTGAATATTATTATCCTTCCATGTTGGTATTGCATTTTACTTAATATCACTTACTGATGCCCATTGTTGACTCTTGCTGCTGTCATTTTGCAAATGTCCCCATTGTGGGACTAATAAAGGATTATCTTATCTCATATTATCTCTTAGTACTCTTCCTCAAGTACAGTATTGACAGTATTTTATTATTTATAATTTTCAAAAAGCAATAATGACATGGATCGAGGATGTAAAGAATAAGCTTTAAATAATCTCAATAAAAATATTTAGTTTAAAAAAGAAGTAGGAGTCTATAATTTTATACAAAGTGGTAATAGTACTGTTTTTCAAAATGTTTTCCTGCTTTATATACATTAATAGACTACTCCACATGAATATTGTAGCCGAATATGTACTGCACAACATTCAGGAGACAGCTGTCTTTAAGATTTTACAAATGAAATACACGATCAAATTATAAACCTTTATTCAGTCAAATTATTTACAGTAGATTAAGTAATGGATATAACTTCTGCTCAGGGAAAGTCAGACATTGCAGCACAGTAAGAAACTAATAAATCATCTAAATAGAATAAATACAACTCAGTAAGAAAAAAGAGACGTTCTCTGGCCCAATGGCTGCATTTTATATTAATTCTAATATAAAATGCTGCCATATTAGAACATACGTAATGTGTATGATCTGTGCAATTTGCAATTTGATGTGCGAATATATGTGAGCAGACATAAGGACATTAATTTTAATTAATTTCAATATTAAAAGGTAGTTTACTTTGTGGTATGGATGGATTTATTTATTTATTTTATTCCATATCAAGTCTAAATATACTTTAACCATGAAACCTGCAACTGCTTGATTTTTTTATTTTGGCCAGTTGGGGCAGTAGAAACAAGCTGTTAACGCAACATAGACAGGAAGGAAGAAAGAAACTAATGATGCATGGAAGGAAGGAAGGAGGGATGGATGGATGGATGGATGGATGGATGGACGGATGGACGGATCACTTCTACTTCAGTTTTAATTTATTTCTGTTTATTGCTGTGTTTTCTAGAAGAATAAAACTTGTAAATAAAGATGATTTCTTTTATTATCTGACCTCAGTTTTAAACCATTAAAACAACATAGGTTTTTTTAAATACATTTTTTCATTTTAAAGACTTGAATTAAAATAATTAAAATGCTGTCAGTGTCATAAAAAAGGTAAAATGTCCCATCAGCAATTTAGGGGAAAGAAGTCAACCAGTTGGAGAATTAAGATATTTTGTTAATAGCTTTTGCATTTTATGCATCGAAAAGAAAAAAATTAATAAGGGAATTACAGCTTCAAGCTTTTATCACACAGAAATGCTTTGGTGAGCTGGAGAAGAATGCAGCTCTCTTAGTGTGCGGATGATTAGCTCCCAGTTCCGGTGGATGAATAATTCAGTTTAATCTCAGTCAGAGGATGTTTTGAATGTGACTCGACCATTAACCAGAATGTTGCTGCTTCGTCATGATGCTGCTCAGTCAAACTGCCAGTTTCAGAATGTTCAACTATTCAACTTTTCAACTTCTGTTTTTGTGTTTCAATTTCTTGTCACCTTCAGTATGTTGACTTTACTCTACAGAACATGAATACAAACTACATGAATGAAATGTTAAAAATGCATGTGGGGTGTGGAAGAAACCACATTCCAAATATAACAACAAAAGTAAGAAACAAAACTTACTAAATCTTCATTGCAGGTTATATTTTAGTATAAAAGAGAAAATTTGACATATATTAGTATAACAGAGAAAAATGTGGTTTGTTTTGATTGGTTATGTTTAGTATTTTTATAAAACGACAGAGAGCAGGCACTCGTATAAAGAATGATGAGATTGTTTAGAGTAAAAGTACCACGTTCCCATAAATTAAAGTGGATGGTTTCACTTTCATTTTAGCTTGCAGGTAACTCTAGGTGGTTAATTTATCTTTTGTCTGTTTTTGTGGTTGAATGTTTTTTCTCTCTCATTTTTCGTGTTGGATTCTTATTATCGCTCGTCTCTATTTTCGTCGTTTCACTTCCAGGAAAATGTGATAAACATCACACATGTTTTTGTGCTTCCTCTTATTGCTTGTGTGTATTTGTGTTTCAGAGACAGCTGTTTGGCATCGAGGCCCCAGCTTCTGCAGAGCTGACTGGTTGGAGAAAATACTTCAACAGCTACACGCTGCAGGGACGGAGAAATGTATGCAGCGCGCACATACACACGCTCTGTTACATGTGATATAGTGTTCACATATGGAGTCAAATCTGTGTCCATCTCTGCTCTCTTCCAGTGCGTCTTGGCTACGTACGGAGTCTTGGTCGTGACAGCAGCAGCCTACATGATGCACAGACAAAGCAAAAGAGAAACGTCCAGCCCCACTGCATAAAAGATCTGAACTGTCACCGTGACAATTCAGTTTACTGCAAGAAACTACACTCATTTTGAAAGTGAAAGCATGGACAGCTTATCTTTTTGTTAAAAATGTATTAAATGAATGTCATTGCTCGGTGCTATCTTATCAATATTCAGTTTTATGATTCAAAGTCATGTTGGGAACCATGGCATCATAGTGTGTGTGTTAAATTGTTTACACACAAACCATTCTCTGCTGAGGAAACTGCAACCAAACCTCATTTTATTATCTGCTTCTCCTGTTGCATGGAGCCGAGTGAGAGCTAGACTATCGACAAAAATCATGCAACGAGTTAAGACTCACATACGAGTCGTGCTGTCGAATGATCAGAATCACAGCAACACTCTGAGTCCCAAGAATTTTGAATAATTCAGTTAACAACAAACGTCATGTCTGAGCTTGTAGAGATTGATACTTAGACATGTTTCTGTTTGTGATATGAATCAGCCAAGTGGAAACTACAGAAGAGAACCTGAAGCATACGAGCAACATTTTTTTCCATCTTGCATTTCAAGAATAAAGTCAGAACATCAAGAAAAAAGAATCAAAATGATGGGAATGAAGTCGAATTAAGATTAATCACAGAACTTCATGTTTGTCAAATCAAGGTTAAATACAAAGGAGTGAGATTTAATAATAGACATGATACAGCTATCAGTTACAGCAAGTATACATGTGCACCACTTCCGTCACTCCTCTAACTCAATGTGACAGACCAGAGGACACGACTTTATCCTCAACATTTCCACTTTATTCATGAAATAGTATTTCAACTTTATCTTGAATGTTTTGACTTTATTCTGAAAAGGAAAAATGTTTTCCTCCTCTTCAATAAGAAAACCCTGATGCATGAAAATGAGACTCCCCTCCTCCCAGCTCCCGGTAACCATCAACACCAACAACTGCTGCTGCCATGAAGTATTTCATTCTCTCAAGCTATTAAAGGGATCATTTCAGATACATGTTCACATCCTATTGGATAGTGAAGTCTAAATATTCATTCATAAACCACATTGCAATCTTAGGTCTTGCCACTCATGCAAAAGAGTTGAAGTTGTTTTCTCTGTCTGGGGCATCTGTGTTAGGTATGAAACTCTAAGCGTAGACACTAGAATGCTCTGTTGGTTGGTCCTTTATTATAACCTGACCTTGGGTACTGCTTGAAAGAGAGAAAGGAGCATCTGTGGAATCAGCCAGGCACTGTTCTCCTAATGGTTTACAGATATAATGTAACATACACTATATATATACATAATACTGTATATAGTGGCATAAATAGTTATTTGTGAGGATATACAAAAAATCCTCAACAGTGAGGAGGATTCCAAACAAAAAGATAAAACGTGTTTTGGAACCGACCTTTAACATGACAGTGTCTGTATTGGAATCCATACAAAGGAAGTGCTCGTAAAAGTTAAAAAGAATAATGTATTCTGAATTAAAATAGAATAAACAGTGGACACAGTTAATGATCTTTTACATCGTTTATGTCGAAAGTAGAGAAGTGCTTTTACTTGAGTGCATTTCAGTCTATTTATTTGCACTTAACAAATTACAAAGTATATGTAAACTCTTTTTCTTTTACTGAACTCTCTAAACCCAGGTGTGTGTGTGTGTGTGTGTGTGTGTGTGTGTGTGTGTGTGTGTGTGTGAAACTGACACTGGTCCTCACAGAGATAGAATAAGGCCTCACACACACACGCGCTGCTTGCAGATCACGTGATTTAAGAGAATCCTGAAAGAGTGAAAGCAAACTGCAGAGCGCGTGTACGGTTCTCACGAGCACGCGCGCCTTCAGCAATAACTTGTGTCGAATCATTCGCGAGGATTCGCGTGGGGGCGTGGCCCCGTCTCCTGCTCCTGCTCCTCCTCAGGCAAAGAGAAAGTAGAATTGCTTGTTCCCCAAATGAACCAGGAGTCTGTGGAGGAGAGGAGCTGCTGAATGACCTTGAGCCAGGCTCCGACTCTCAGGTTTGTTCTGGTTTCATTCATTCGTTAATGCACAAATGTATGTTTGTGCCAATTTACGCAGCGGTGTCAAAATGTTTCTCCGCCACTGATCCTCAGAAGCAATGATTGCTAATATAAGTTGTTTTCTTCTCACAGTTTAAAAAAACAACAACCTGTTGCTGGCCACAGTGAGTTTGAAGTGTGTTTTTAAAGAAAAGTAAAATGCAAAGAGAAATTACAGATGTGAATTCTTATGACAAATACAGATGTGGAAAGTTATGACAACCTCAGTTACATCAACTCATATATTTTGTATTATACCAGTCCCTGTATCATTGGGCGTTAGTATTAAATAATAGCAATAATTTAAAAATATGTGAAAGTTTTATAAAAGAAGAATAATGACAGTTTAATCCAGAAATGTCGTCAATATTGGTGAAACTCATGCATTTCTCAAAGTGTCTGTGTTTCTGAAGTTTATCTGGATTTCAGCTGCACAGGGATCTATAGCCTGCTGCTGCTCCACAACTCAACAACAAGTCAGCACTGCAGACAAAGGTTCCCTTCTATTCCAGCGTTATCTTGATAAAAGAATGATAACAATAGAAAATCCACTTTAACGGTGTTGACAGCAGCACTCAGCCAATTAAGAGAATTGACACAACCAAGTTTGAACTGACAACAGTTAATGGTTTTAGTTGAGACGGGGAAATTACAAGAATAATACACTAAAATATTAGACCTGTTTTTCAACAGGAGCTGATATTTACATGCTCTCCTTATTTAAAAGAGAAGATAAAACTAAACGTTAAAATAAAACGAGCTTTAAGAATCCAGAAAGACAGTAAAAGAAAGAATCCTCTCTTTTTGTAACCATAAAACTAACATAAAGCAAAAAGATTGACAGAGTGCATAAAAACTGAAAAATTATACGACAAACAAAAAACATTCTTCAAAATTTATACCACTTATATATGATATTATTACCCACTTGTTTTTACACTCATAAATTGTATTTGTATTTTACGTCTGTTCTTTTAGTGGGTCCTGTGAAGAGAATGAGAAAGTGAAAGTGTTTTATAATCGTTGTAATGATACGTTGGCTTTGATGTGGGTTATGGCCAGCCACATGACTGTCTGCTTTAGACACGCAAATGCATGCACAGACACACACGCACACAGACACACACAGGCTTAAACTTTATTTTAACAGTGCAGCTTTAATTAGAAGAGAGTTTTGGCTCAATGCAGAACTGAGTATCAGAGTCAAATAACTGATAAGACATCTAAAGAAAATTAATCTGCAACTACTTTGATAATCGTTTATCATTTTTCTAATACAGGTGCCATATTTTCATAGTTTTCTCTGGTTTTAGAGACTAAATAATTAATCAATCAATAAATCTATTGAGCTTCAAGGAAACGTCTGTTTTTTAGTGAAGAGTCTCAGTGTGCACTGCCTGGTCAGTGCAAAACTACAGACAGACACAGTCAGAGACAAGCTGTTGACCACATTGAAGTGTTTAACACAGGAAATAGATTCATCCCAAGTAAAACAGCTTGATGAGAGTGGATATGATTCAAAGTGGGAATAAGTTCAACATAATAACTTAAGTAAAAATAGATTTTGACTGCTTGTCTGTTTTCTTTCCTGTGAACAGATGAAGCTTTTTCAGCCTCTGCTTCACTCCGGCACTTTGTGCTAATGTTGATCAATCCTGATTCAAAATCTGAAGCTGTCATTCAAACAACATGGAGTCTCAAAGCAGACTGAGTGGCAGATGACCAACCAGGACGGTGCCAGTGATGGAGGCTCTGTCGCCAAGAAGTGGAGAAAATGGTGCAACCAGTGGTCAAGAGAAGGATTCTCTTGTGTAGGATGGTCAGAGCCAAACTGGATAAACCAGTTGAACAAAACCAAAAAGATAAGTGCGCAGCGGAGACACAGAGACAAAGTCAACACCCTGAAGAACCTGTCAGCCCCAAACAGAAACCAGAGAGTGTCGGATCAGACCGCCAACCGTTGACGGAGAGGAAGTTTGATCCACTGCAGTGGAACAGCCGAGAGGAAGAACCTGAACCATGGTTCCAGGTCAGTGAGTGAACGCTCTTTCTTTAAGAGTGGGCAGAAGTCTGGAGCGAGTTAAGTCAGAAATGATTCACCTAGATTTCATTTTCATTTTGAACTTATTATCCAGTGATGGAAGAAATGTTCAGATATTTTACTCCTTGGTGTGGAAATACAAAATATATATTTCATTAGAAGTATAAACATGAAGATTTAGTTAAAGTACCAAAAGTACCTCACAACTCCCAATAAGAATTAACTACTATATGTACTGCTATAGCATAATGGTAACTTATTCTATAATTTTGTTGTCATAAGAAGATGCCTTCAAGACAAAATGTCTGTGATGTGATGACCTCTGTGTCAGAAAATAAGCCCAAAAAAAAGTTGAATATCTGAGTTCATCGTTGGACTCTGAGGTTCACACGGGAACTTTCTATTCTATTGAGCATCATTTTAGTAAAAATCAAGAAAAAAAATTGCACTACTTTTTCCATCCCTGATAACGTCTGTATGGAGCCTGAGAGGTTAAACTGGTTTAGTGCTTTCACTGTGCAGTCTGTACGTGTTGATTATTATCATGCCGACTATTCACTTCCTCTTCTCCTGCAGCTGATGACTGGAGGCGACGCCGACAGCCTACCAACACACCTGCGTCCGTTCTGCAGCCAGGCAGAGTATGAACTGGTGAAAAGCACGTACCAGCAGCTCCAACAGAGCGGCTTCTACTGGGGGCCGATGACCATGGAGGAGGCGCACGAAATACTGACACACTCATTAGTGGGCACCTTCCTCATCAGGTAATTCACAACTTACACAATCCTATTTCAGAGTTATACAGCAGTTTTATCTCTTCGGCTGCTTGTAAAGTTAATTTCTTATGCTCGTCTATTGCCCAGATATCCTGTGCAAAAGAGGCTGCCCAGCTAAAAATAGACTTGTTTGGTTAAATTAATCCMAYMTAAATAAAATAATGTAAAATGTTTTAAAGTAAAGTGAAATTGCCATCCATTTATGATGTAAAATATTTGTAGCGTAGAGAAAATTTGCAGGTACTGTTATTTGAACAATGTTACAGAAACCTAATGAGACTTTTTAACCTTAGATACACATGATCATGCAAACAGGTTTTTCTTCCTGTTATAGTTTCCCCTGTTTACAGTCAGCCAGTCCGGTGTTAGAGAGGAAAGACAGAGTCCGGTCTAATCTGGAAACAAAACTTTTGCCCTAATTCCAAACGAATGGACGGTCAATGGGAGAGAGAGGGAGAGAGAGAGAGGAAACGCTGTAATCCATAACCAGCTGTTACTGTGATGCACCTCCCCCTCTGAGAGTGAGTGAGAGTGAGTGAGAGAGAGAGAGAGAGAGAGAGAGGTTTTGCTCAACCCAAATACAATTACAACTAATCAGTATTATGTTGGAGTGTGAACCAGATTCACAGTTACTGCAACAGTTCAACAGAAAAACATGGACTTTAAAAGGTAGTAAATTATTTACACGTTCTAATATATATATAATTTGATTAATAATTGTATTAATACAAAGAGATGTTCCCACACTGATACAAACATCAGAAATCCTTCTGATACTGTTGAAAATACAGGGTTAAGCATCAGCGTGTACACAACTGATTGATAATCCGATACCCCTTCTGTTAGAGCAACAGTTTTCTTTTCCCGGAAATCACTTCTTGGGGATCAAAAGCCACCGCTAAAAGGTCAGCAATTTGGAAATATGTCACACAAGTAAAAACTAAAACGTGCACTTTAACAGCTATTTAAATGAAGTCATTGTTGTGTATTCCTTTACTTTCTCAGTTCTGACTGTCAAACTAGATAATAAAAAAAAAAATTTATTTCTCCTTCTCTACCCATATTTAAGTTATACATATATTTTCCTCTTCTACATGTCTCCTTAAATTCAATCAAGGAAAAAAGGTGAAATGCAGAAAAACACCCCATCTTACAGTTATAAAGAAAGTGTTATAAAAAGTCCTGACCCTTTCATTTGGATCCACACTCACATTTTAGTGGGTTCTTCCCTGACTCATACTGAATCCATACATAACCTCCTTGGCGGCTGTAATAAGCAGCATTGCACATTCAGAATAAACTACAGTAAATGTGCACAGAGTGACAGTGTGGTGGTGTCTTCTTTCAGAGACAGCGGCCAGCCAGATGTTTTCTTCACCCTGAGTTACCAGAGCGAAGACGGCCCGACTAGCGTCCGCGTCCAGCTGACCGACCTGCTCTTCAGTCTGCACGGCAGCCAGAAGAAGTACCCATCTCTGTTCGCTCTGCTCACCTACTACACCAGCTCATCCTGTAAGCTGACTGTGCCCTATCGGCGGCAGCGTCCGGAGAAACTGAAGCAGACGTGCAGGAGGGCGTTTGTTCGTACGTACGGAGCAGAGAATATTGGCAGTTTACCTGGACTGACCCATCAAGTTAGAAACTATCTTCACGCGTACCCGCACTCTACATAGACACACGTGTACCTGCAGCAACATGTTGTGTTTTGTACATTAAAAAAAAAAACATTCTGCATTTGTGTCAGCAATGAAGTGCAGTGGTTTGCACCCTCGCCTCACAGTGAAAAAAGTAGAGGTTTAAAGTGTGGTTTGGTCATTGCCTCTGAGTTTGTATTTTCTCTGTGGGTGTAAACCACCTCTCGCTCAACGTCAGCTTGGATTGGCTCACGACCCTCAAGGGACCAGAGGTATAGATGTTATATATGTATTTGTGTTATTTAAGCTTTTTTGTAATTATAAGTATAGAAAGTTTGTTGCCTGTGTAAGTTGCTCAAGAGTTCTTTTTGCACATGTAATGGCATGGAAGTTTATGTGATTATTTCTTTTATTAGTTCTATACATTCTGTCAGAATTTCATCATGTGCATATATATATATAGGAAACAAGTGCTTCCATGACACATGCATAGACTATATGTATAGATGGATGTGTTAGTCAGTTGGACATTAACCAAACGA